AATAGATATCGAGTAACTGATGTCGCAGGTTCGATGTGGAAAAGTATAGACGAGAAGAAAGAGAGGAATGGGTGTAGGGACAGATGGGTGATTGCGAGGTAGGACGTCCATTAAAGTCAAGAATATAAACAGAAGCAAGTGAGGCCTCTACAGTCAGGGTCATGGACTACTTGATCATGTAAGCACAGTTTCCACAGGAAGAGAGAGAGAGAGAGAGAAAGAGTAAAGGGGTTCCGTGTGACGTTGTCTCCAGCATGGGTGTGCTGTGCTGCTGATCAGTCACATACAATTATGAGGATACAACTTTCCATCTCTCAAGAGAGAGGAAGAGGAGAGAGAGAGAGAGAGAGAGAGAGGAGAGATGACAACACTATTAGAATACATCTCTCTCTAGAGAGAAAAGAAACAACAACAATATTAGAATACATCTCCCTCCCTAGAGAGAGAAAGTGAGACAAACAATTATAGGAAAATGTTGAAAATAAAAGACAAACAATTATAGGAAAGCAAAAAATAATATGCTCCTCCAGCTGAAAACCTGCATGTCTATATCTAAGGAGAGAGATGGGTAGAGAGAGAAAGTGACCTAAGAGAGGGAAGGACCATCACCATGAAGCTTGAGGTTAAGTGAAGTTTGAACAGGTGATTTATGCATGCAGGTGGGAATGTATGTGAACGTAATCAAATACACGAAGACACGCAAAACACATAGGGAAGAATGACAGAAGTACACGCACCAAATTGTAGACGCGGTCCATCACCATGCATTTGCCATAAATAATAAAGAGAGAGAGAAGGCTAGTGGACCTATTCTCCATTTTGGGCTTCTAAAGTCATGCACAAGCGTTAACAAACTGCATGCACCACCATTTCCAACAAAAAATGTACTATCTCTCTCTCTAACACACACACATACATAGACGAACAAAGACGTATCTACCATCTTTTTCTCACTCTCTCAAACACACACACAACTGTACTCGCAACCCCACTTCCTCTCTCTCTCTCTCTCGCACACACACATAACTGTAACCTCTCTCACACTCTCACAGAAAACACAGGCAGATTGTAGCACCCCCTCCCCCCCACTCTCTAGTCAATGAAAATTTTTTGTGAAATTTTCGTTAAGATGAACAGTGTATCTCTTAATATGAAGATTTTAGATTTTAGAAAACCTCTCTCTCCAATAACCAGAATCAGAATCCCCTACTAACAAGGACAAGCCCTTATTTATCTACCCATACCCCTTTCCTGCACCAACAACTACAAACTCTCTCTCTTCCATGCCCCTCTTTGCACCAAACGTCCCTCTCATCGCCCTTTTGCACCAACCACAATCTCTCTTTCTCTCTCTACATGAACTTTTTTGCACCTAAACTGCAACTTCTCTCTCTCCTCCATGATCCCTCTCTCTAGAAAGAGTGGACACGCCGACCAAATATGTAATACAAGAGCATGATTCCAACCGGCAAAAATAAACTCTTTTTATATTAGATATCCTAATAAATGCAGACGCAATAAAAAGATTTACCACCAATTCTAAGATATATTATAACAATCTTCATTAGAAATGAATCCGCAGGTCTGATAGGCAGAAAGCAGGTTCTAGCCATAGGCAGAAAGCATGTTCCAGCCATATACAGGAAAGTGTGACAGGCGAGAAAGATGTCAACTTAGAGAGAAAGTCGCTGAGCTAGAAAAACAAGACCAGCAAAGATAGAGGCTTGAAATTTAGTTTAAAGTCAGAATGTGGAAAGGGCCACAAGCTCGAAAGAATGACCTAGAGGGAGAAAAACCAGAAAGAACACCCCACTTAGAGAGAGAGAAAGTGACTTGAGTGTTAAGACAACAGTGTCCGAGATCGAGACACAAGGGGATAGATTCAGAGACGGGAAGAATTTCGTCGAGGTACAAAGGAGAATTCTGCTGTCCAGCAAGAGAGAAAAATGCGACACAAGAAATACAATGAGAGAGAAAGGGGCGTACACACCTGAAAGATAAGGATTGTGGCTGAACATAGCAGTCGGATCGAGCAACGATGCGGCAAGCATGGAGGAAGAGACACCACCACCGCCCCCTTCACCAAGGGAAGAAGAAGAAGCACCACCACCTCCACCGCCCGATCCTGAAGCTGCAGGATCCGGACCCCTATCATAAAGAACCCCCTTGAACACTCTCCCCCCTATAGCAACGGCCGTTTGATATGCGTACTCCTCTTCATCACCTCCCTCCTCGACTGAGCTAACGCGCACGCACCTGAAAACAGCGCCAGTCCGCACCTCGCTTGGCAGCCCGGGGCCGAGATTTGAGGCCTGGCGTACCCGCTTGGGCTTGTCGTGAAGCACGAGCTGTTGCTGCTGGTGGTGGTGAAGGGCAGCGAGCTGCTGCTGCCGCTCCCGACGGCGAGAGGCGGGCACCCAAGTGCTCTTAATATGGGTAGGGCATTCGAAGCCGCGGCTCTTGCAGCACGTGCGGCACCGCTGGTGCACACAGTCCTTCTTCGCTTGGTTCCCGCAGTCCTGGCAGGTGTTGCCACCACCGAGCACCAGCCCACTGCTGGGCCGGCCCTCCGAGCCTTGGCCTGAGCCTAGCATGGCTGGGTTCGAGGAGCTGGGCTCGGTGTGCCATAGATCGAGGGGCTTGAAAGGGGTTGGCTCCTCATGGGTTGGGTTATGATGTTGGGGCTGTTGGGAGTTGTCGGGGACTAGAAGAGCGAAGCGGTGGTGAGGGTTGTGGCCATCAATTGTGAGGGGGAAGCCATAAGGGGTGCCGAGAAGGGTTTCTCTATGTCTAATGTGAGGAAGAGGAGGAGAGAGGAAGGGAGAAATGCAGCCGAGAATGGTGCTATTATGGTAGTGAGAAGCGGCGGTGGCGGCTTCGATTCTTTCTCCCTCCTCCTCTCCTCTTCTCCTCCGCCCTCCTGAGTCCACAATTTCTTCGAATATCTCCTCTTTCTCACTCTACATCCTCTTTCTCATCTCTCCGCGACTACAGTGTCTAGGGCTCCCCAATTATTGTGAAGCTCTCCACCTTCTATTGGCCGGCTCTCACTCTCAGCCCCCAACGTCCCTCGGTCCTCTTCGCCGTTTTTCTGCAATTGCTTTCTCTCTCTAACCCCCTTACTGATCTGCCTACTCTCGTCCTACCCTCGCAATTCCTATCTTTCCGTCCCCACTTTCTCTCTCTACCTGTCCTCTCTGCAACTCTTTTGCATCTCTCTCTACAATATCGCTCTAACCGCTCTTTCTCTCTCTAAGCTCTCTGTCTCTCTGGCGTGGTGGGTTTTGCTGTCTCTCTCTTGGGTTTTGTTTCCTCTTTTATAACTCTCCTCCTGCATATGATCGCCACCCGTCGTCTCTTTTCTCGTGTCTTCGTCGGGCATTTAAAGCATGGAATTACAGGCCTGCCTGCAGCGCCGCCATACTAACAGCAAGCCGCTGCAACCTCAATTTAAGCCGCTCCTGCCAGGCCTCCCGCCACTCCCAAATGCAGACACTCTCTCTCTCTACATTTCTCACTTTCTCTCTCTACACTCTCCCCTTCGCCCCCTCCTCCCTCTCATCGATGCTGCGGAGCGATGATGATGGCGAGGGGTGTAACTGAAAATCTATCCCCATTGGTCCCTTACCCGTCCCGTCTCACCGTTGCCCCACCTCCTCCATCCGACGGTCTTGAATCAGCCACGTGTCGTGCACAGCTTTATCTTATTCGTCCTTGCACCGTAAAACCCGCTGCTTTTTGCCCCTCCTTTTAGTCCCCACCCCCTCTCTCTCTCTCTCTCTCTAATCTCTCTCTCTCTGACCTCCCACTTCTCTCTATCTAAATCCCACTCCCTCGTACCCCCTCCTCTCTCTCTCTAGGCGCACTCAGATCTACAAATTCTCTTCCCCCAAATCTAAGATCGATTACATCCTCTCCCTCGCTCTACAAACCCCCCACCATTCTCTCTCTCTCTCTCTAAGTCTCAATGGCCCTTCTCTCTCTAACGAAGTAACTAATAAGTTGGCGAATCTCTCGACTTTTCCCCAAATTCTTCTGTGCACCAAGTACTGGAGTGTGGGGCCGACCTCGTATTCGCCCCTCTCTCTCTCTCTCTCTTTACTCGCCTTAAAACCCGCCGTATACGGCCCCCTCGTTCTGCGTGCCGCCCCTTCTCATAACAATTTTTCCTTCTCGCATTAAAAGATTTGAACCTTCCTTATTTCAGCAATCATTTTCGTATAATTTAGTCTTTTCGGGCACGTTGTATCCCATTAGTAGCAACCCAACCCCCCCCCCCTTCCCCTCCCAACGTATTAAAATTTTCGAAATATTTTGTTTTTGTGTATGGAGACAGTAGTCGTCCCTCCCCTCCCCTCCCCTCCCCTCCCCTTTTACAAAAGACGGGGGATTTCTCGTTGTCTCTGCCCCTATTATTATGTTCTCTCTCTCTCTCACTCTAAATCCTAATTTCGCTCAGCTGAATGATGTGTGCGCGACTCCCAATAATTGTGTCCCTGTCTGTCAATCTCGAGCCCAGTGTAGGCCGGGTTGACTCTCTCTCTATATATTTCTTAATTTCTCTCTCTAAAACGCCCTCTCTCACTAGATTAGGCTCCCACAAATCCCGAGGTTAACTAACTCGTCGCGCAGGGAATACATGGAGGGCTAATGACCCCGAGCATGTCGCTTAATTGAAGAGAGAGAGAGAGAGAGGGCTGGGGTTAATGGAGGGGTCATTGTCGTGTATTAAAGGATTGATGTTAACGTGCATGTGGAGTCAATATGCCAAAGATTTGGTTGCCGAGAGGAGGGCGTCACGATGGCACGCATTTGGTTAGAGAGAGAGAGAGGACTCCTTTAGAGTTTCTCTCTCATCACCCCCCTTAAAACCCTCCACCTTTTTCTCTCACGCTTGCCGTGCTTCTTCGCCCGTGCATGCCCTTCCCCGTCCTGCATGAGAGAGATTGTACAGACGAGAGAGGGCCGAGAAGCAATCAAGCAGTTTTTCAGTACAGTTATTGATTTCATCATTTGAGAGAGAAAAGTAGACATACAGACACTCGTTATTCATTTGAGAGAGAGAACTAAAAAACTACAGGTTTTTTAAATCGATACATTCCTTAATTTGAGAGAGAGAGAGAGAGAGAGAGAGAGAGAGAGTAGTTTTGCTACAAGTCACAAGCTAAGATAGTGAGTGAGAGAGAGAGAGAGAGT